GAATATTACTCAGCAATCACAAAGATAAACTCATACCTTTTGCAGCAACATGGATAGAGCTGGAAGGGATCATGCTTAGTGAAATAAGCCAGAAAGAAAAAGAAAAATATCGGATGGTTTCATTTTTTGCAGAAACATAAAGGACTGGAGGTGTGGGGAGGGGGGCAGGCAGAGGGGAGATAATAATGAACAACTATATACAAGAGACATTTTGTGGGGGTGGAGTGGGGAATGGGATCAAAAATGGGAGAGGGGGAGTGCACTGGACTATGGTGATGGCACACGGGTGATTTGGTGATGGGAAGTCCACAGGGATTATAGCTGAGATGGGAAAAGGCACAAAATGATGTAAAAATAAACTATTATTAATAATTAAAAAAACCTACGTTTTCTGAGAAATGTTTTCTTTTTCCCCAGTCCTAATCAGCTGCAGCTTTAGTGTAGTCTGGGGCAGCTGCAAGCTGAGGAAATTGTGAGGCTGCTGAAGTCCAAAACTATGGACAAGCATAGCCCTCAGTGAGTTGTTTCCTCTGTGACCCGAGAGAGCGGTTGCCAGGATTTGGGGCACTTTGTTTTAGTAATACAAGCCAGTCTGAGCCAGGGGATACAGTGAGTGATGATTCTTACTACATGTTTCAAATGTACCATGATTCATTTCAAATTAACCATTTATTTAAATAGCTGGATATTTTAGGGGGAAAATAAAGTTCTTGCTTTTTTTTTAGGTTTCTCCTGTTGAGTTCACTCCAACTATGTGTGCTTGACATAGAGAACATTATAGAAAGTGCATGAGCGAGTATGTGTCTTCTACTTTTTGTTGTAACATAAAGAGGCTGCAGCCAGGAGCTGAGAGCTAAGCCAGCGACCGGCAGAGCTAGGCTGAAGCCTCATCCTTCCACTTACTTTCCCATCCGTCAACTATAGCGTAGAGCACCTTCCTGACCCTCACAGGACTGGTGTGCATGGCTGATGCTTGGTAGTCACGTAACACAGCTCGTAGCAGCCACGGTGACACTGTCGTCCGAGTTTGCTGCTCTGATGCCCGTGGGTCTAACTAACCCTGGATGTGGACGGCAAGCTGCTGCTTCAGGTAGACATCGGGCTTGTCCAGTCCTTCCCTTCCTTAAGTCAATGGAACCCGCTGTGCGGGGGACGCAACAAAGTGAAAATACTCTGATGCTTTGCAATTGGAAACTGGAAAACAGATGCGCTGAGCAGCATCGCCTCTGAATGCTATTGTGATGTGTTCCTAGTTCCGCCTTGACAAGGATGAGTGAAGCACTTTGTTGACATATCATTATCACATTTTTGACGTTAAACAGCCAGAGGATCTATGAACTCTCATCATGTAGTTAATTATTCCTGGACTTTTCTGTGCTCTAGAAACATATTCTATTTATTTAACCATCCCCCGGGAGCACTGGCCGCCTTTGTCCCCAAGACACGGCCAGTGGTGTAAAACCTCTGCATCTGTCAGATTTCTCCGTGTGGAGCATAATTGCCTAATTTCCATTTGAAAGTGCAGCCCTGACATCACAGCTACATAGGCCCACCAAGGATCACAATGATGCCCTGACACCTACAAGGGTACAGGAGTGAGAGGGGCACAATGCCGGAATAAATATGTGCCCCAAATGAGCACTCCCCTTCAGATGGACCAGGTCTGAGTTTACAGCTGCAGATGAAGTGTTCCTTGCGAACAAAAAAATAGAAAGGAAGAAAAGACTAAAGAAAAAGAAACCAACAGATTAGCATCAGTGTGAGTCTGGGGGAGCCAGATGGCTCTCTGTGGAAATCGAGATTTCCCACTTTCGACTAGCAGACAGCAAGCCTGCTCAGAGGGGAGAGAAATGATCTCATGCCTCAGCCAGGCACATGATTTGCCTTCTTTCTGTCTCACACAACTTGAGCTGAAGGAGAAAAGAAAGGGTGAAAAGGAAGGAAAAGTGAGCCAGTCGTGGTCTGGAGCAGCGTGAGCCACCAGTCCCTACTGGCCTGTGAGTTCGAACACAGGGCACAGAGTCCAAGAAGGAGAAAGCCATGTCCCCTTCTATTCGTGTCCGTGGACTGTTTCCATGATCAAAGGTGGCCCAGAGGCTTGGTGTGTATGAGGTTGGGACACGGGGTGAGGATAGTGGACAGTGTTGTCACTGTTTTACTAATGATAATGCTTCTCTCCATGGGCTGGGGGCCAGTGAGGCTGTGATAGTCCTTGGTCTGCTGGACCAGGTCAGAAGCCAAAGCCAGCTGCTGGGTGAGTCTACAGTGTCCCTGGCCTGGTGCCCTGGGCTAGAGGGAGCCAGAGGGGCTGGAGCCACACAGGATTACCCATGAAATGAACCTCCCAGGTTGTAAGTGGGAGAGGGCTCCTCTTCTTGCAAAACTCCCAGCTGGAAGAAGACTCAGCAGGCAGTCTAGTTCTGAGTCACTCTTCCCTGCTGAGCAAAGCAGTCACTGCTCATAAACAAGAGTCTGTTATCTGCTGATGTACATCAGCTAAGATGTTAGAGCACCACATTCTCAGAGGTGTGCAGGCCTCCCATAAGCTAATCGGCCCTTTTGGTGGGTGTTCACACACACCAGCGTGGCTCTGGGGCTCCTGGGGGCTCCATCCAGAGAAGCACATAGAAGCAGGACCACTCCCTGGTGAGGGCTAGAGACAGAGGCTCAAAAAAAGCTAGGTGAACTTTCTTGAGGTGTCTAAAGTTTGTCGCCATCTGTGTTTACTCCAAAGAATAAACAGTAGACTCCAAAGCAATATCAAATACAGGATAGTCAGTCTTTTGCTGCTGGAATGATCATCTCAATCATAATGAGCATTGAGTAAAATCCTGCCCTTCTTCAGCCAGGGCTAGGTGGTCTTAGGGTTACAAGGCTGGGGATTTTAGGGCTAACTAAGCACGCACCTAGAGCTGAGCACTAAGTTGGTGAATTCTGTTGGAGTCAGGAAGGCAAAGAAGGCTGCTAGCTGGAGCTGAGACTGCAGGCTCCTTTAAACACCAACCCACTGTTTTATCTTCATCTCTGGGATCAAACTACTACCTAAAGGTGTCCATGCTTCTCAGTTGGGTTATCACAACTGAGCTACAGGACTTTGAAGGAATGCATGTAGGGAAAGATCAGGAAATTGTGGTCTGGATCATCTGTCCTTGCTCCACTTTAGCAGGAAGGCCCCTTCTCAGGACATTTTTAGAAATGAAAAATGCTAGGATTTAAAGAGAGCTTAGCTTACTAAGGGTCAGGAATCCTTCTAGTACTTGGCGTATATTTTACATAATCCTCATGCCACCCATAAGGCAGGTCCCCTGATCACCCCCAATTTACAAAAGGAGCACTGAGGCACAGAGATGTTAAACAACATTTCCAAACCCACACACAGTTAAGCAGTAGAGTTGGATTCCAACTTGGCTCTACCTGGTTCCCAAGTCCATACCTCCAGGCTCTCCTTCTTTCTCCATGTTGAGATAATGCTGAGCATAAAGTCCTGTCTGTATTGTGGTGTGGTGTGGTGCAGGGCCCGATAAATGGGGCTTGTTGTTATTGCGAGTATCGCCGTCACTCTGGTGTTCTTATATTTCCCTGAATTCTCAAGAAACACCATGTGTGGTCAGTGCAGCAGCTGCTACTCACCCCATTTTATAGCTGGTAAAATTGATACCCTAAGACCTCGAGCAGTGGAGTCTTGACTCTGCACTCTGCTTTCTAATTAGGGCTTGCTTCTGCTCTACTGAACTTCAGGCCACAACTGGATGAGGTCGGTTGCTGTCTAACAAGGAATATAACTTCTGTCACCTTTCTTTCCCTTCCTACTGCTTTGATTGACTCACAACAGAGTGGGGCCTGCCTGCATCCATCTGGGACTCGTTGAAAGATAATGAGTGGTCTCTGGTAATAAGTGAGGTCCTAGCAAGGATGAAACACATTGTGTGTTCTTTTTTTTTTTTAAGATTTGTTTATTTGTGCATACAGAACTGGGGTATAGGCCAGAGGTGCAGGGTTGGTGAGAGGATTCACCAGAGACAGTGGGGAGCAGAACAGGCTGACTGATGAAGTTCACTGCTGAGAGGAGCAGTGGGTGGGTCAGGAGAGGTCTGCTGCGCCACATGGATCACCTGAAGGGCAGACGGGGATCGAACTCATGCGGAAGCGGCTTTAGCCTCCTAGTGCTATGCTTTAATTCGCTGCACCACCAGGGAGGGCCCCACATTGTGTGTTCTTTTATGACTTTCTGTAAAAAAAATTTTTCTCACCATTACCAAATTCAGATGCACTGCCATGAGCACGCCTCTGCCGCCCCACCACCCCCAGCCATGCCTGCAAGAACATTTCCAGCACTCTCCATGACAGGAACAGCTCCCAGCACAGTGATACAAAGCAGTGAGGGAGCTTTCTGTGTCTGAAGCATAGGCCAAGGCCATGAGTCTGGCTGCACTCGGTTGCTTGCCTATTGTCCCTCACGCTGCCCTTCCGGTGATTTTCACATTTCCCCTCCATTTTACTTTCAGAAATCCCTGGGGAATGCGGCTTTTGTTCTGTTGCTTCATGTCATTCCCTGGGCTGGGATGAAAATGATTTCCTTTCACAACCCTGGCTGAGTGCCTTTTCACATCAAGTCTGTGTTATGGGGTGATTTATAAACTGCGGGGTCTGGGTCTCTTTCCTCGTCCTCCTCCCTCCTTCTCTCTCCGCATCATTTAAAACAAGACATTGCACATGACGAGCTTTGAGGTCAGGGTGTCCTCTGAAGTCAGCCACCAGGGCATTTGCTCAGAGGCAAAGATTCGGGGGCCCCACTGATGAGCGCATGAAAGCCTCTCACTCCTGTTAGAAGAAAACAGAAAGTGGCCCACAGCCGGATTTATCATCTCTGAGAACAAATAAGGCCCAGAGTCTCAGAGTGGAGGGATTGGCTTTGAACTGAGAATGTAAAAGTACATTTCCAAACTTGTCATAGTTGTGTTTCATTTCTAGACTTTTATTCTCAAGGGGACAATGATTGGAAAGGATGCAGTTGTGAAGTTTTGAGCTGAGAAATGAAAAAACATTACTTTTCTTTGCTGCTATATGCAGGGTAGGAGGAAAATGAAGCCATGGGATTTAGTCTCCCGTCGTCACAACAAAGCACAGAAACCAGAAGGCACAGAGTCACTAGGAAAGGGGTGTGTCTTTGTCTGATCCGAAGACGGCTGTCCATCTGCTGCCTCCGTGGAGTACAGTCCTACCACCACACTTCCTTCAGGTGTCGGCTCCTCAGGAACTAAAACAAGTATCAGGAGAGCAGGTCAGTCAAGCCTCAGCCTGGCCTTGATGGCCAGAAGGTTTCTGTCTGAGCAATGAGTAGGGGCCCTGGGGCTTCCTGTACTGGCTCCTGCACAAGGCAGCAACTTCCTGGACGAGACCAAAAGGGCTATGCCGACCTCCGCCTTGTCACTGTATCGTTTCTCTTGTCCTAGCCCACATCATCTTGCTGGTCACCTACTAACCTCTACTAGTGCATAACTCACACAAGAGCCCAGAACCCTTAGACCTGCGGGCCCCGTGAGTACCCAGGAGTACTCAGGAGCATACACCTCAGACAGGGCAAGGTCCCACCCTGCTCATTATTAAGCTCACTGGGCCTCCGAGGTATTGTGCAAAGTGGGGAAATAATGATTACCCCGACTTCCCAGGGTAGTTGTGATCATTAAATAAGATGAGGTACACAAAGTGGTGAATACAATGCCCCCCAGAGAACAAACTCAGAGGCACCAGTTCTTACATCTAAGCATGGGAGAAGCCTAGGGAGAAGGCCCTGGCAAGGACAGGCCTCTGACACTGTGAGCCATCTGTGTGGTGGGAGGGTGCAGGACCGAGGGGATAGAAATAAGAAGCCTGCATGGAAGTCACCATCTCCATGCACTGCCCTCCCTGTAGTCCCATGTGGAAATGTCAGCAACTAAGATTTTACAGTCATATATCATCCCTACTTCTTCTTTACATTAATCATTGTTCTGACATGCAAGGTCAGAGAGGCTCATGCGACTTGAGGTCGTGTCCATCTAGAATTTGAGAAATCAGGGAATACAGCAGGGGTTTCTAGCTTCAGTCTTTGTTACCAAATTAGTGAAAGACTTCTTTCACCCTGATGGGCTGTTAGCACTTCAGACTTCTTCCTGAACCCAGATCAATGGCTGACTTTGCTTTCACTTCCTAGTAGCAATGAGTAGTTTTCAGCACAGACGATTAGATTGAGACCAGCTCATTTGCTGATGTGCTGGCCCCTAGTGAACCCAAGTGTTGACATGAATGTGGAAACACTTGGCTACTGGGCCTGTCCCCAGACTCCATGTCACTGGATGTTACCAGGATGAGGTAAGGATTTGGGAGAACTCCCTGGACCAAAGAAGGGGGGTGTTCCTAGGACATCTAGAACCATAGCGCTGGGGCCACTCTGTGTGATGAGCTGTCTGGAATTTAGCTCATGCATGCAGTGAACTTAACCTGATGAGGCACTGGGGTTCCTAAACCTTCAGGTGTAGGATTTCTATAAGCTGTGGCCAAACTGGAATTGGTGCCCTTTAAAGTCAGGTTCATTTAAGTACCATAGCAGCTACCATGGGTGTATGTGCGTGCACACACACACACACACACACACACACACATTTTCCGCCTCTTTGCAAACTCTTAATTATTCAGAAATGAAGGTCTGTTTTGTTTTTTCTGTTAATTCTCTACTAGTTTTGTTATTTTAAATACCATTTATCCTTTTCATTTAAACTTCAGAGTTCCTTACAGTAGTTTTTTTATCTTTACGCTGTAAGTACTATTTTATTTTTAAAAACATTGAATTTTAAAAAAAGGTAAAAGGCAGAGTTTGAAAACTTTGAAATTAGTTTTCTTTAAGTATCATAGCCAAAAAAAAAAAAAAAGGTAAAAGAGTTGATTACTTTTTTTTCTATTGAAAAGCTGGGACTCTCTACCTCGTCTATCACTGCCCATCAGCCCTAGAAAGGGCAACTGGACCCTCCCCCTCTAACTGGACCCTCCCCTTCTAATGTCCCTCTGTGCCTCAGTTTCTCTCCATGTTTACAATTACTATGCCATACATCTATTTCCCACTCAATTTACAGAAATATGTGTGATCCTCTAAGATAAAATCTCCACAAAATGCAAAATGGTATTGTGACCACAGAACTTGTTTTGTGCCCTTATAATTATACCAAAAGTGGAGATTACCCCACCTCTCAAAAAAAAAACAAAACTGTAACTGAGCAAAATAAGGGATTGGATTTGCTAACATAAAAAGGGACCCATTGAGCAGGAGCGTCCACTTATCAACACTCAGACCCGCTTGCAATGTTCTGCTGCTTCCAGATAACACAAGCCTGCGCATGACCACAATGAGGAAGCTGTATTCTGGTCTCACTTCCCAAAAAGAATTTAGGAAGAAAACATGAGGAAAAAATGTTTCATAGGCCTTCCTTAGTCTCCCTTTTATTCAATACTTCTTCATATTCTTCTTCTTCTAACAGCTCAAAAACTTTTCTACTTCACTTTTCAGAGCTGACTTCTTCTCTTGCCTCCCAGGTACATTGTCTCTCTTCTAATCTGGGCACTTTCATGTTCTGTCTGAGCTTTAACTGTGGTCCTTCTCCTTCTCTACTCCCATCTCCATGACACTTATTAGCCCCTTCCTCAGTTCTTGAGCTAAAAAAAAAAAAAAGCCCTGATCGTCAGGAAGAAAAAGATGACCCATGAGGACTGGGCTGGGAAAAGAACCAAGCCAGCATATGGAAGCCGACAGACGAGACAGGATTCCACGGACGAGAGTCCCTGACGCCTGACAATTCAAACAAGCCTCAACCGGCACAGAATCGTCAGACTCTCTTGGAATTTCTACACATAACTACTTGACATTTTACCTCAATCCAATCCCACAGCCCAGATGGTGGAAGAATTCCCTTGTTTACTTGAAATGAATTCTCATCTATCAATTTTTTGCTTGCACAGACCAGTGCTCCCAGCCAAGGACTGCCCTCAGCATCATCATTTTGGTACTGTCAATCTTTATTACTATGCACAGTTGGGAAATGTAGCCTTCTAGTTCATTAAGTTCCATGATGAATTGAGATGTGTAATGTACGTAATCCATGGATTACTGAAATATAGATGCCTGAAATAATATAAACCCCAAACCTAAATTGAAATAGATTGACTTTCCTGGTCGTCACAAATGTACAAAAGTAGAAGAGAATTGGGGCTCCCACCTGGTAAACATAAAGGTGGCTTTTTATGGTCACAGGGGTAACTATTCTGCCATGTCAAGCACTTTCTGTCTTTTAAACACGTCCTTCCTCTGTTTGGAAATATGTGTAAATGTTCAAAGGAAAGAAATTCATGGCCTGCCAAGTTATAAGACAAGTGCATTCATGGCAAGCCCATGCACACGCCCTCCTGACCACAAGTCTGGGGAGACAGACACCAGCATTTTAAAAGTCTCTCTGCGTGATAGAACTACAGGTATTTTTGGCTTTTCCTTTTAGTGTATGTGCACTCTGTGGTTTTAAACAATAATACTAACAACAATAATAATTAAATATCCCCTCTATAAAATAAGTAAGGAAGCAACTATTTAGCTAAGGAAACCAATATAGCCCAGTAAAGAACTACGAGCAGCCCCCAGATTCATTTCAGTTAGATTCAGAATGGATGAAGTAAAAAGAGTGGATTCAGAAGAATCTTCCAGGGAAACAGCCATCACCTGAACTATGTTATCGAAGGTGAACTGGGGGTGGGGGTGTGGTGCAGGCTGGATGGAGCACGGTCAGGTCTGAGGGAATATAGGGAGACTGTGTGTTCTTGCCTGGTTGGTATAGTCAGGGCTCTGCTTCCTGAAGGACTTGACGTGGGGAAACAAGAGGGATTATTGCATTTGTGATTTAGTTAGCCGTACCTTTCTGTGCCAAGTCCCGCCAATTTGCTAAGTGAATGAATTGCCAACAGTGGGTATACTAAGTGAGTAAATATTTGGAAAACCTGACCGTCTTCAGCACTTTGCAGTTTTCAGATGGCAGTTAGTATCTCGCATATATTCCTCAAAGCTACCCAATAAAACAGACATCTCATTACCCCTGCTTTCGGGACAGGGAAAAATGAAGTGAAAGGGATTTGCCCAGTGATACAGGTGTTTGCTGAATGCCTGCAGGCCTGGGAATCCTATTAATAATTTCAACCAAATGTCCTTTCCACCATGACCAGGCTGTCCTAGATGTGCCACTCCTCAGGGGGCTGGTAAAGATGGGTGACAGGTCAGCACTGAAGGCTGCTTCTGGACCTACCAAGTTACCACTGGGCTCAGCACTGGAAATCTGCATTGCCAGCCACAGATGACTGCTGCCCTCTTCCTACTGCCTACTCACACCAACCAGGTGTGATTCCACATCCTGCCCAAGTGTCACAAGTGACTCTAGAGGCCTAACACAGAAAATCACATGTTCCTCTGCTAGCAACATCCTTATTTGTAAAGATTCATTAACACCTTCCAAGACCACCTTCTACAGAACACTGTTGGGTTAACAGCTCAACTTCTAGAAAGGCCCAGTTCCAACAGAGCTTTGCCACTCATCAATCCTAAGTAGAAAGGGTCTGTATAGCTTGACAGACACATTAGTAAAGGCCTCAGAAAAGATACCTAAAGGTCTTGCAGGATCAGGCATCTAAGTCTGGCTCCAAACCAGCTGGACCCAACTAATTGGACAGATCTGAGAAAAGGGCATATATTGTCAAGACTCTTGTGAAGGGCAGGGACCCTGGCAATTAATGACGACAAACCCATCTAAGAATCACCCATCAGAGGGTTTGTGGACAGTAGGAAAGTTCTTCCTGTTGGGAAGAGTGAATCAAATATGGAGAAAATCAACTCTCTGCAGGCACAACACTAAACTCTGCACACATTCAGGAGGGAGAGCTCTACCACTAACATTCTCCAAAGGAAAGACTAGGAGTTGGTGTAAGAAGTCCTAAACTTAACCTGCCATGACCCACCAAGTGGACACCCTCAGACCACGACTTATAAGGAGGGGTCACCTCCAGAGAGGAGCCTGGGCTGCTTGCCTAAGTGCCGAGCGCAGGTCAGCCTGGAACCCATTACTATAATTGTCGGGAGAATCAGTTGGAGACAAGTTGAAGCAAGTTGAAATTTGAAAAACAGATTAACAGGGGTCTGACAAGATGCCAGAAGAGCCTGCCAGCAGGGACAGCTGAAAGGCCAATTCTTTAGTCAATACTGAAAGGTGGTTGCTTAAATATCTGAGTCAACATACACTGGTTTTTTTCTGCTCAGTACTGCCGTTTAATTGCACTAAGGAGCCTCTCCATGGACACATCTAACACCAACACATGGTGGAGTGAAAGAAAAATCTATTATTTAAGTGCAAATCAGATCCTGGGTGCCACAGGCCAGGATCCCATAGAGTCCTTCCTCTCACCCCCTGACCTTGACCTATAGAGTTCTTGAAGAGGTTCAGGGAGGCCCCCCTTTAATGTGGGCTAGGGAAGGGGTAAGCATCACATCTCAGAGAGGGGTCTCTGCCAAGGTCCTGGAATATTTTTTCCTGAACCACAGGACAGGGAAGGAGTCAGGGGAGCACCAGCTTCTCCCACTGGGAGCCAAGTCATAAAGGAGGCATACCCCAGAAAAGCAATCATAAGGTTGGCGACCAAGTGATCATCTAGTGAGGTGGCTGGAATACATGACCAATGGAGGTAAGCCTTGAATAACCACCTAGTTGACTGGAGATTGGGAAACAGGCATGTCTCTGAAGGAACCAACAGCCTGATCTACAGAGTCCTGGTTGACTTGGCTATTGGAGGTAACGTTCCCCAAGATGCTTGCAATAGAGGGCAGGTAGAATGGCCTTGAGGTGAAACAGGCATGTCTCTGAAGGAACCAACAGCCTGATCTACAGAGTTCTGGTTGACTTGGCTATTGGAGGTAATGTTCCCCAAGATGCTTGCAATAGGGGGCAGGTAGAATGGCCTTGAGGTAGATATAAGATTGGATATCCTAGAGTGGCTCTCTGGTGGCCTCCACCTTCCTCAGAGGTCAGATGTCATAACAACTGAGCTGAAGGTCCCATATGATCTGGAACTGTGGCAGACCCTGGGTGCAGATGACAGAACCCCTTCAAGACTAAATTTATGTCTGTGGCTGGCTGTTAGAGTTAAGAAAGGTATGTTGATAATGAACTCAAACTTGAATTACCAGGGGAAGATGTTAAAAGCAATTTCTGATCAGAAGGTCTGAACCTGGGTTTTTAGACTGAGGTCCAACAGTCCAACTGGTTGTGTCCTTATTTCTCTAGGCCTTTGGCTCACACCACACAGTTCATCATTCACCCCAGTATGTCACCTGCTAATCACAACCAATCATTAGAAATCTGTTCGGATGAGACCCAGAGGACCAGAGGGAAACATGCCAAGGCATTTGTGAGGCCAGGATGTCCAGGGTGGTGGCCTACCTCTTGGGGAAACTATGAAATCATGTTGGCCTGCTTCTTAAAGAGGTCTCACAGGGCCAGGTTGGCTGGAGACACAAGCTGAAGATCAAGTTCTACTTCTTCCACTTGCTAGTTATAAGTCCTCTATAAATGATAAAACCTTTCCAGAATTCAACTTTCCTACCTCTATTATAGGAAAAGCCAACTGACTATTCTATCACAGGAGATAATGTGTGTAAAATACCCAGCACAAAGTAGCTGCCCGACAAATGCCTGTTTTCTCCACCCTTCCAGGCCCCAACCCCAAATAGAGGTGATCTCAGCTCTCCTCCAACTGGTATTGGTTTTGGAACAAAAAAGCCATAGTTAAAGAGGTACTGTATCAGAGGACTAGTTGGGAAATTTCTATCTCTCACCTCTAAACTAGACACTCAACCCTGCTGGGCCCTGTTGGTTTCTCCTTGGCAGGACCTCATAGAACAGATATTTGAAAGTAAGTGTGTTCACCGTCTTGGAGTTTAAGGAGTCCTTCGACTTTTCCTTCTCTTTTCCGGCACCCTGAGGACTTTGGATGAACCTTAAATGACATTTTCCCCTTGAATGTTTCTTCACAGCCTCACAGGTCCTCACCTAACCACAGACTTTCTGTTCACATTCACTGTGTGAGTCAAGGCCAAATTGTCCCAGGCTCCCACCCACCTCTCTGACCCATGGTTCTTCCACATATACTGGCCTTCATTCACTCCTCCACACCCACCAAGCCACAGAGACCCTTCCCCTGAGCCCCGAGCATAGAGCTGCCTGGAAACCCTTCTCTGTCAGGCTGGTTCCTTCCCTTCTTGTACTTTGCAGCTTAAGTGCTGCATCTGCAAGGAGACATCATTGGCTGTCTCCTCCGTGACTTGGTTTTATTTTCTTCTTATCGTTTATCACTCCTTGAAATGGACCTCCTTGTTTTGTTACTTGCCGCCCTCTACTGAGAGGCAAGTTGCAGGAAGGCAGGGGCCTTGTGTATTTTAGCTCCAAAGGGGAACGATTGCAGGACAGTGCCTGGCTTTCACCCCAACTTCCTGGACCATCAGCAGTTTCCCAAGGAATGTTGTTGAATCTGTAAAAGTTTTAGTTCATAGCAGCATGGGATGAGACTATTCAGGGCTTGAACCCTGTCAGAAACGTGGGGGAGGGTTGTGGGCGGGGAGGAAAATGCCTCCAGGTGATGGCAGAAAAGCTGTTTAGAGCTGCTCTTGTCCCCAAGTCCCACATTTCACCCGCCTTGGGCAAGAGCAAGGAAAATATTGTTTTGTCCTTCTCTCTCCAGAACCAAAGTGCTGATCTTTCTCTCAAACTCAAATCCTAGAGAATCTGAGAAATCTGGGGTTGGGTCAGTGCCCAACATGAATGTCTCAGTGACACTCAGCCAGGAGATACTAAGAATAGCAAAGCCAAACTCTTTATGTGTATGGATTAGTAAATCGTTCTAATGGTTCACATGGATTATCACACTAGTCTTGAGAAATTGTCTCAGGGCCCAGGGGCAGTTTTTGAAAACTCCCTGGAACGTGGCCTTCTGCAACAGGCATACACGATTGTCTGGAAAATGATTTAACTCTGTCTGGGTCACGAAATGGAGGGTTTGCAAAAAGAGAGGGGGGCTCACAAGGCTGGAGGGGAGCGATAGGGTGGCTACTACTGTGACAGTGACTCACTCTCCTGGCCCTAGTTCTTCATGCTCCTTTGTGACCCTGTACCCCAAATCTAGCTGTGTCAGTCCTGAGAATGGCTCCTGGGGCTTTCCAAGACAGTCAGAGTTGGTCTGAGGTGAGAGAAAGCTTCCTTCCTGAATGCCCTTGGGAGGTTGTGAGTCTACACAGTGTTACTGCATCCGGGCCCTAAGGGCTCTGTGAAGCACCACCTGGTGGGAAGCCCAGAAGCTGAGCACTGTTGGTCAAGTGGCCAGAGGGCGTGGTGCCCAGAGAGATTTCATTTTGTGGCCACATGAGACTAATGAGTTTTTCTGGGTGCTAGGAATTTTTTGGGGGGAGGAGAACATAAAGGGCCCTTTCCCTTGAAGTGAGAAAGAAGGTGGAAAGGTTAATAATAATAATAATAACAGTGTATTCAAGACAGTGAGGTGATCATTCAGGAGCCCTCAGATGAGGGCTCACACTCACGTCAGATGTTCTTTCTGGTTCTTAGGAACCATGCACCTGAGCTCAGTGATCCTCTTTACTGCCACATACCTGTCTGCCATACTCACCTTTTGCTGTGTCTTTCTTGGGGGGACGCAGCTCCTGGTTGTCTGTGTACCTGAAGATGGCAACAGTTTTGCTACCATGGTTTCCCTGAGCACTGGCCTCTGCAAATAGATGATAGACAGACAGACAGACAAAGCATGATGGGCTTGAAGAGGGTGAGGCCAAGCATGAGCCATCTGCCTGAGGCAAGGAGGGGTCTGTCTTTGCTGCTTGTGAACACAGTTGCCCCGAGGGTGTTTCCTCAAGTGCCTCACTTAACACTGACACTGTTAAGTGTCAGTGCTGGGGAGGTCAGTGGACATTCAATATATTTAGTGTGTTCACCACCTAGTGAGGAACAGCAAATGTACCTGCTTTGGAGAACAAAGGAGAAGAAAGGAAAGTGCTTACAAGAAGAGCTCTCCTGGCCCATCCTGTCCTCCTGTCTTCCTACCAGGTGGGGAGGAGAGGCCTTTCCCCCCAGGCACAGGAAAGGCACTGCTCATGGCCTCCTGCACAGCTGCCGTGAAGCCAAAGCTTTTACAGCTGACTGCGCAGTGAGTGGCTGGAAGTTCATCTTGGTCTCCCTCCCACGCCTCCTCAGTCACTGAAGAGCGTGCCCTATGGGGGATGATCTGGTGAGAGAGGTTGATTTGGGACGAGCACGGGCAAGTGGAAGTGTTTCTCTCAGCCTCTTTCATTTGGTCTTGCTATGTGGGACAAAGTCCCTCTGTACCCAGAGGTTAGCAGGGTCTTGTTCTCAAGACACTGAGGGAGCAAAATCACCTGGGGGTCTTCCCTGGGAGGTTCTGGCCTTCGTGTTCCTGCCCAAGCCATCAGCACCAGCCCAAGCACCATGCTCTGGTGGAGATGGGAGGGGACGTAAGACAGAAAGGCACCCGTTCCCCCAAGGACAGCTGAGGCTCTCTACAAGAACCCTGGACTGATGGGAACAAAAGCCTGGGAAACCTAGAGAAGTGAGAAAGAGAGGGACTGAAACCTCCTCTCTGGGTCCCACATCTGGGGTCCTGCTGTTCCTCTGAAGGAGATACCTATCCAGGCTGGAGACCCAAGGGAAGGGGGCCTTTCCTCAGGGAGACAGACCAAAGGGATGCTTTTCCTGATCTGTGCAGATGTCTGTTGTTTGGTAGGGTCTGGGAGGGACTCTCCCTTCCCCCTCTCTCCACACCCTTCCATCCCTTCCATCCCCTTCTTTCTCAGGGTCTAATTTGAGATCTTCAATTGAGCAACCCTCACTCATTATACATCCTCAGTGGTTTTTTTGTTTTGTTTTGTTTTTTGTTCTTGTTTTCTCCAGTACAGATGTGCAAGTAGGGTAGAGTCTTCTGAGCCATGCCATGTTCCAGAATCCTGCTTCCCAAGCTGGAAAGTTCAGGAAAGCTCCTCCAGGGGCCATAGGCAAAAGCATATCAGCCTTGAGCTAGGAGCACCTATCAGCTGCTAAAGCCTCCACCTCTGCTTTCCTCTCACACTCAAAAGCACCTTTCCCCTTTACTTTTCTATTTCTGAAAACAGAAAAAGGTCCTGCAAAGCAAAATCTCTAAATCTAAAAATGTTTGTTTATCCCTCTCTAGCAATTTTCTGTACTCTGGGGCAGGGGTGGGGGGAGGGGGCATAATGGTATAAAAACAAGGTGATACCAGTGGGCATGGCATACATAGCCCAGAAATTCAGGGGCCAAAAACTCAAAAGATGGTGAGTGACTCCTGGTCTTCACTTCCAGTTTTTAATTTAATTCTATCTCAGTTTCTTCACCAGGAGAATGTGACCAAAAACAATTACAGCTCACAGGGATATTAAGGTGAGCTGATTTTAAAATGAAAGAGATTTAAAAGTTCTTCAAAACCCCACCTGATTGGTATAGCCCTATTTAAAAAAGCAGTAGCCATAATTTGTGTCTCTCAAGGAGAAACACATTTATTAGCTGAGTAAACAAGGAGCCTCTGGATTTAGAGATTTTGCTTAGCAGGACCCAGGAGAACTAAGGATTAGTGCATGTTCTTCTCCCTTTGCTGTACAGATCCAGGAAGGCCTTCCCCCTGATACCCGGTGCTCCCTTCAGGGTGGTGCTCCCTTCAGGGTGATGCTCCCTTCAGGGTGGTGCTCCCAGCATGAACCAGCATGGTAGTTGCGGTCCCTGAAGCAAGGGAGGTAGGACCCATCTGGAAGCTTGGAGCGGTGGAGACCTCATTGTGCCTTCCAGGTGCAGCTTTTTGAGCACTGTGAGGCAAAAGTGGCCCCTGGACAGCTTAGAGCTGCACCACTGGCCCCAACCTCACTCTCATTACCCCTGCAGCAGGGAGGCTCAGGGATTTTGTCATTCTTCCCATTTTGGAAGCCAACAGAAAATGAGGAAGGTGAAAGTTTCCAGTGTGTCAGAAAAGCCTATTCTAGAGCCTCTTCTGAGGTTGAGGCACAGAGGGAGACACAAATCCTCGCCCAGCTGCTGAAGCCGGTGGAAAATCCCTTTTGTGGCCAAGACAGCCTTGAAAACAAATGTGAGGGACCCTTTATTTGGGTCCATCAGCCTCGCTCAAGTGACATCTTAGCATCTTAGCATTGTGCAAGAGAAGGGTGTGCAGGACTCCCTTACAGGGGGCAGCTGACTGGTGGGGGGCGGTGACACCTGCATTGACACAGTCAACCCACATTTGTTAGTGAAAGAAAAATGTTCAGCACTGCTAACACAGCTCCTCTTTCGAGCTTACCCTGGCGGCCCAGTGGAGGTCTGCCCATGATCTCATCATCTGAGGCATTCAGGTTCTGAATCAGAAAGTATGTGGTCATTTTTCCTTTACCTTTCACTTCAATTTCACCCCTCTCGATGATCTCAAACCCTTGATTCTCCAGGGCACTGCATGAAATGAAAATAAAAAAGCACTAGATAGAACAGATCACAGGCCTGAAAACCAAAAGGGAAGGGGATAGAGAGGAGAGGTGGGAATTCAGGGCTCACACGGGGATGTTGGGGCTTGCTGGGGCTCACAGGGACAGGTGGGCAGAGCGGGGAGGCATGACGCTCAGACATGGTGGACAGAGTGCCGAAGGCACGGGAGAGCACAGGGCACCCACCTAGGCCCTGTGATGTTTCACCACACTCCCCCCTCCAACATGCCACTCGCGACTGAAGTTCTCACAGTTTGACAGCCACATCCTCACTGCCCACGTGTCCCGTGGCCGCCTGAGCCTCCTTGGAAATCAGCATCCTCCCTCCAACCTCCCCAGCACCTGCTGTCCTCCGTGGCTGCCTTCCTGCTCATCCCTGGAGCTCAACAGCATCAATCTTCCCTGCCCTTGGTTTCAGGGATGCGCCCAGACCTTACCACATCCTCCTTGGCTGCCTTTTACACTCCTCTCTCTCACTCTCAAGCTGTTGACAGAGTTTCCTGCTTTGTGACCTAATTCTGCTACCACATTGTATTTATTATAGGGGGAACCCTGTAACTTCTTACCCCATTGACTCACTCACCTTCTCCCGCCAGTCTCAGGGGATGAGGCGTCTTATCAAGGGCCCCCCATCTCTGCTCCTTTTCCACCTCCCTGGGCCCCTCCCCTGCCAGCCACCTGACCCCCTTATCTTCAACTCCTTCTCCTTACAAAGTCCCACACAAACTGTGTCTCCCATTCATCCTTCATATCCACAATCCAATGTCTAGCCCCAACATTCCACCATAGCCACTTCCGATAACGTCCCCCCAAAAAGCCGTTTTGTTTATTATATTTAACATATTTAACTATATTTAACATTGTTGTTGAATTTTTCCTCCCTATAGGTATCCATAAAGTTGTTTCTCACTCCAACATTCCCTTTTCTTTCCTATTTCTTCTGCCTCTCACATGGCCTCCTGCTCCATCTGCCAGGTAATGTTAGTTTTGTTCAGGATTACGCTCTCCTAATACTTCAGCCTTCCCTGTGGGCTCATCAAGCTCTGTGGTTTTAATCCCCACTTCCACATTGCTTACTCCCAGTCTGGGGCTCCCAGCAACAACTCAACTCCAAATCTCACCAGTGTATTCAGTGACCCCTACT